AACGAGCAATCGGATGGACCATTGCCGATTTGCGTGGGATAAGCCCGTCCATTTGCATGCATCGTATACTTCTTGAGGAAGACGCTAAACCATCTCGGGAGGCACAGCGACGGCTGAATCCTCCTATGATGGAGGTGGTGAAGAATGAAATTATCAAATTGCTGGACGTTGGAGTCATTTACCCGATCTCGGATAGCCGGTGGGTGAGCCCGACGCAAGTGGTTCCAAAAAAGTCGGGTGTGACTGTGGTTGAGAACCAGGTAGGTGAGTTGGTTCCCACTCGTGTCCACACCGGGTGGAGGGTATGCATCGACTATCGTAAGTTAAATGCGATGACTCGCAAAGATCATTTTCCATTACCTTTTATTGATCAGATGTTGGAGAGACTGGCAGGTTACTCTTACTATTGCTTTCTAGATGGCTATTCAGGTTATTTTCAGATCCCCATTGCACCCGAGGATCAGGAGAAGACCACATTTACGTGCCCGTTCGGGACATTTGCTTACAGACGCATGCCATTCGGACTGTGTAACGCGCCTGCCACGTTTCAAAGGTGCATGGTGAGCATCTTTTCGGAGTACGTCGGCAATATAATAGAGGTATTTATGGATGATTTTAGTGTCTATGGTGAGTCATTTAATTCGGGCCTCGAGAACCTTGCTTTAATCTTAAAACGATGTATTGAAACGAATCTTGTTCTTAATTGGGAAAAGTGTCATTTCATGGTAGAACAGGGTATTGTTTTGGGACATATTGTTTCTAAGCGAGGTATTGAAGTTGATAAGTCTAAGGTCGATATTATTACTGCTTTGCCTTACCCCGCGAGTGTGCGGGAAGTGCGTTCTTTTCTTGGCCATGCAGGGTTTTATCGTCGGTTCATCAAGGATTTCTCGAAGACAACTGCCCCTTTGTGCTCATTGCTGCAAAAAGATGTGGAATTCCGGGTGGACGAAGATTGCAAAAAGGCGTTTGATTCGCTGAAGGAGAAGTTGACCACATCTCCAATCATCCAGCCACCTAGATGGGAGCTCCCGTTCGAGATAATGTGTGACGCAAGCGACTATGCTGTAGGAGCAGTGCTAGGCCAACGAGTGGATAAGGCGCCACATGTGATTTATTATGCGTCAAAGACATTGAATCCCGCCCAAGAAAATTATACCACGACTGAAAAAGAATTGTTGGCGGTGGTTTTTGCTCTTGAAAAATTCCGTTCATATATATTGGGAACTAAAGTAGTTGTTTTTTCTGATCATGCAGCACTACGTCATCTTTTGGCGAAAAAGGAAGCAAAGCCGAGGCTCATTCGTTGGATACTCTTGTTGCAAGAATTCGACGTGGAGATAAAGGACAAAAAGGGAGCTGAGAATGCTGTGGCTGACCATTTAAGCCGAGTAACACATGCTTCGGATGACTTCCAGCTGCGAGAGAGCTTCCCAGACGAGCATTTGCTGTGCATTGAAAACTTGCAGTTCCCAGTAATACGGGGTACCTTCCCAGGAGTACAGGGTACCCCCGAACTCGACTGTGCTGCAGCTGAACAACAAGATCGAGGAACTGCGAGTTCGGATGTAGCCGAACCCTGGTATGCTGATATTGTAAATTATCTGGTTGCTAAAGTGTATCCTACAGGCATGAAGAGCCACATGACGGATAAGCTCAGGAGCGACGCCAAGTATTATGTGTGGGACGACCCGTACCTTTGGAAGCATTGTGCCGACCAAGTGATTAGGCGGTGTGTCCCGGCAGCCGAGTTCCACCCCATTCTTTCGTTCTGCCATTCACACGCCTGTGGAGGTCATTTTGGTGGTAGACGGACAACTCATAAAGTGTTGGAGAGTGGATTTTATTGGCCTACACTCTTTCGGGACGCGCATGAATTTTGTAAGTCGTGTGATAATTGCCAACGAACAGGTAACATTTCTAAGAGGAATCAAATGCCCCAGAACCCTATTATTATTTGTGAAATTTTCGATGTCTGGGAATTGATTTCATGGGCCCTTTTCCTTCTTCGTTTGGTAATGAATATATCTTACTTGCGGTGGACTATGTCTCAAAATGGGTGGAAGCAAAGGCCACCCGGACTAACGATTCGAAGGTTGTTGCAGGTTTCATTAAATCTAACATTTTTTCTAGGTTCGGGATTCCACGGGCAATGATCAGTGATCGAGGAACACACTTTTGCAACAAGACAGTGGAGGCGTTGCTTAGGAAATATGGTGTTGTTCACCGGCTTTCGACTGCCTACCATCCTCAGACAAGTGGTCAGGCCGAGGTGTCGAACCGAGAAGTTAAGTCCATCCTGGAGAAGACGGTGAATCCCAACAAGAAGGATTGGAGCATTAAGTTAGAGGATGCGTTGTGGGCGTACCGAACGGCCTACAAGACTCCAATCGGCATGTCTCCATACCGGTTGGTGTTCGGGAATCCCTGCCATTTGCCGGTCGAGCTACAGCACAGGGCTTGGTGGGCTGTGAAGAAGTGCAACTTCGATTTTGATGATGCGGGAGGCCACAGAAAGTTGCAGCTGCAAGAGCTCGAGGAAATAAGAAATGAGGCTTTTGAGAACTCGGTGATTTTCAAGGAAAAGACGAAGGCCTTTCATGACCTAAAAATTTCGAGGAAGAATTTCATCGAGGGGGAGAAGGTTCTACTCTTCGACTCTAGGCTGAAATTATTCCCGGGCAACCTACGCTCTCGTTGGATTGGTCCTTTTATCGTTCTGAAAGCTTTTGGCCATGGAGCTGTAGAAATTTTTAGTCCTACGACGGGAAAGACGTTCAAGGTGAATGGCCATAAGCTCAAGCCGTATTATGGAGAGCTTGGAATCAACGACGTGGAACGAGTCCGGCTGGATACTCCTCAGTCAGTTTAAAGGGGAGTACTTTGTCGAGCCAACGACGTTAAAAACAGGCGCTGGTTGGGAGGCAACCCAATATTATTATTATTATTATTATTATTATTATTATTATTATTATTATTATTATTATTATTATTATTATTATTATTAT